GACGGGGGGGGAGAGAGAGAGAGAGAGAGAGAGAGAGAGAGAGAGAGAGAGAGAGTTACTTCACTGTCCAAAAAGTGAGAAACAGAGTTGGATGTGTTAGGTCCACAGGGCTGTGAGGGAAGGAGAGGGAGAGAGAATGGTGGTATGACAGGCAGAAGCCAGACTTAGGTGAGGAGCCTGAAGGTCTCGAAGGAGTCAGAAGACCAAAAGCTTCAAGACAAAAAAGACCAAGTGTACTGGGAGCAGAGGAAGGAGGATTAGTGGGAGTCATCCTCAGAGACAGAGACTACACCTGGATACTTGGGAGGCAGATGGCTTTACGAAACGGGAAAGCCAGGTTGTGGCTGCAAGGGAGGGGGATGACTGCGGGACCAGAACACCCGGGAAGGGACATTTCAAGGGCTGATGACACATCTGAGCTGCTCACAAGTGCAGCCTCCTTGTCGAGGCCTCACAGCATAGGTGAGCAAGGAGAACACCCACAGTTCCTGTCAATACTGGGTACAACTGTGCATACCCAAGGCAGAAGAACATGGATGCTGCAGTGCTGTCAGTCACAGGCTTTGTTACCTTTAAGTCAAGGTGCACAATGCTATTCTGATGCAGGTAGGAAACACCTTCCAGTATTTGTTTAATGAGTTTGATAACATCATTTTCAGAGACCATTTCAGCCAACTCAGGTAAACACAGGTTGAAGATTTCTCCACCCGCAGCACTGAAATAAAATTCAAAGAACAAAAACTTGAAAAACCACTTACCTAAACACTTAAGGACTGTATACCTGTCCCATAAAGCAGGGGTCTCCAACCCCGGTCCATGGCCTGTTAGGAACCAGACCGCACAGCAGGAGATGAGTGGCCAGTGAGCAAAGCTTCATCTGTATTTACAGCCACTCTCTATCGCTTGCATTACCACCTGAGTTCCATCTTCTGTCAGATCAGTAGTGGCATTTGATTCTCATGGGAGTGCAAACCCTATTGTGAACTGCACGTGCAATGGAGCTAGGTTGCATGCTCCTTATGAGAATCGAATGCCGCTGCTGATCTGTGCAGAAAATGCAATACACTTGAATCATCCTGAAACCATCCCCTCCCTTGTGGAAAAATTGTCCTCCATGAAACTGGTCCCTGATACGAAAGAGGATGCGGGCCACTGACTTAAAGGACACATAACTGTCAAAACTTCAGTGCAGACACTTAAAGTCAGGGCAGCGGAGGGAGGGGTCTTTAAGAAAGAAAATAAATGATTAGAATATCTCAAATTCTGGGTACTAATACTTGAATATTAAATAAAAAACTGAATTTTCTTTATACTCCAATAATGTGTTGTCTGCCTTAACTCTGCAATAGAAATAATAAAAACAGTAGCTAACACTTTGAGCTCTGCCCTGTGCTTGTATGTATGTATACATATTTTAAGACACGCTGTCTATGTAATACTTTTGGTTAGCTGTAATCAGAAGTGTCTAGACATTGATGGTAAGCACTCTGAATACCTCTTGTAACTCAGAAGTCAAAGGTGACTTGTATTCATCTACAATTTTAATATAGTTTTTTCTCTTCTTAAAATGTGTATGCTTTTTTTGGTACCCTAATATATATATATAGAATATCAACTATTTTGCTTCTCATGACAAACATGTGGCTAATTTACAGGTACAATTAGGTTAAGCGACTTGTAAAAGGTCACATGGAAACAACAGCTTTGTAGAGTGTGGGTAAAAACCTGCACTTTTAGCAATCCCATGCTGCACTGCAGAGTCACGCAGCACACTCAGGGCCAGGACTCAACAGATAACTGAGTAAATAACTGATTTCAGATAACTGAAACCTTAGGAATACTGAAAAGGCACAATGAAAAATGCCAGATCTGGAATAGATGATCTGAATCTAAATCCCAAATCTGCCATTTTCCAGCAAGATAACATAGGGCCAGGCACTTATGTGGGCTTTCCCATCTGTAAAACAGAAATGTCATTAAAATCAACAGATTCTGGGGGGATTAACTCTAAATAAGATAAAGTCAGTCAGAACAACATGCAAGAAGAATCTAGATAGTCACTCATCAAGTGTATAAGGTATGTTCAGGAACACTTAATAAAGTACATTCTATGTGGCAACACAGGAACTCACATCAGGCCATTTTAGAATCAGTTCTTTGCTAGGCATCTTACAAGATACAAACACTAATAATCTAGTCCTATCTTCTACAAAATCAGACCAAATTTCTAGAAATTATAGGAAAGCTGTGTAAAATATAGACTTACATATTCAATCTACCACTGAGATATAAAAAGTAGATCTGAATTCTTCACATGTACAGCAACATAAATTGTTTAGGTAAGAATTTCTTTTTTTTTTTTTTCAGGGAAAGACATTAGTTTATTAACTTACAGGAGGCACTGATGGTGGCAGGTCAGTGAAGAATTTATGTCTTGGGGCAGTTACAGTCAGCAGTTTTATAATCAAAGCAATCAAGCTAATTGTTCAAATTCCTATATGGTGTTTTTGACTACATAGTTGCCAGCTTTGCTCGCTCACCTGCAGCTGTGACTCAGTCCTGGAAGTATGCATCCCTTACCAACCTTGGCCAGAGGTCGCTCCCCGAAGTCAGGGATAGAGGAAGCAGTCCATGTCCAGATAATACCTCACATGTGACAATCAGTTTTCCTCAAAATGTCGGAGCACTGGGCTGTTGCCTTCTGTCTTGCTGTGTTGCAGAGTCAGGTGCTGTTCTGGTTTTCATTCCTCCATTATTGTGACCTGTGCCTTCCACAGGCTAAGCATTCGGCGTAACCTTTCTATGTGACAACTTGGATCCTTCAGCCCTGGGATGGCTTATCATTTTTTTTCTTTGCTTATTTTCTACCCTTTGCTATTTCTGTTCTTGCTTTTTAGAGTTACATACTAGGTTCCCTGAATTGAGTCTCCTCACATTTTATACTTTAAATCTACTACGATATGCTTTCTAGAATATTCTTGGGGGTTTTTTGGTTTGTTTGGGTTTTTTTGAGTTAAAGTCTCACTCTTATTGCCCAGGCTGGAGTGGAGTAGCACCCTCACAGCCACTGCAGTCTCAACCTGCTGGGCTTAGGCAATCCTTCCGCCTCAGCCTTCCAAGTAGCTGGAACTACAGACACATGCCACCAGGTCCAACTAGTTTTTGTGATTTATTGTAGAGATGAAGTATCACCAACTTGCCCAGGCTGGTCTCGAACCCCCAGGCTCAGGCAATCCTCTTGCCTCGGCCTCCCAAAGTGCAGGGATTACAGGCTAAGCCACCAGGCCCAGCCTACAATATTCTTTAACTTCACCTTCCAACTATTCAGTTTCAGCTATCATAGTTTTAATTTTTAAGAGTGCTTTCTCTCTAACCGTTCTTTTCTCACATCAAAATTTTTAAAAATTGTATGGAAGTAATGTCTTCTCATATCTTTCTGAGAATAGTAATGCTTAGATTGCTTTCTAAATTTTCTTCATTTCTGGCATTATTTTACTTTCCTTTGCTTTGTTTTTTGTTTATCAAGATCTCTTTCCTTCTTATTTAAAGGCTTTCTCCCAAGTTTTGAGACCAATGGCTATCCGTCTGTGTTAAGAGCGAGGCCGGCTCACTGCTGTGTGTGGGGGGAGAAAGGTGTAGCCAACAGTGGTTTTTAGTCCAATGTGATTAGGCTGTTAGTTTCCTATTTGCTGTAAATGACCACAAACTCCTGACTTAAAACAACACAAACTTATCATTTTACAGTTCTGGAGACCAGAAGTCCTGAAGTCAATATGTTAGCAAGAGCTGCACATGGTGGCTCACGCTGCAGCTCCAGCTACTGGGGAGGCTGAGTCAGGGGCATCGATCGAGGCCAGGAGTTAGAGTTCATCCTGAGCTCATTTCTAAAGATTTCTAAATCTTTATTTAGATTTATTTAATTGGAGACAAAGAGTAGAAGTACCCTGAGTTTACCTTCCAGGGCAATGATAATTACATAGGTGACTTTTTTTCCTTTTTTGGAGTCACTCTTGGGGTGGACTTTTAAACAAAGCTTCTGTTTGTCTGCTACTCACTGCTTCCATTTCCGTTTCCCATTTCTGCCAGTTTAATTCCTGATGCTTTTTGACTGTTAATGTACCAATAATTTACATTACATTCACTAAAGCTAGTTCAATAACCAGAGCACTCCACCAATGCTCAAATTCAAGACAAAACACAAGAAAACACTGTGAGCAAGTATGGCGAGTACTACCCTGTGCCCGGGAAGTTGAAGTCAGGACAGCAGGTGCAGCCAGAGTGCTGCCTGAATGCAAGACGCCTAGGTTTCGTCTACTCTGTCACTAACCAGCTCTGTAGACAGGGATAACACGTATCTCAGTTTCCTTTACTGTAACATGTGAATAATAATAGCTTCTATGAAGAATGACACTGGATACTCCATACAAAGTATTAGCACAGCAGGTTACTATAAGGATCAACGTAGGTCACTCAATAAACATTTATCTCAGTCTCTGACACATGGGAACTATTCAATAAAGATTAGCTATTATTGTAATGAGCCAGTAAACATTAATTACAAACCTAGCCAATACCTCACCTTTCTGAATTTTGGGGCTTCTTGTTGAACTCTAATTTTGAAGGAAACTTTTTAAGTTTTTGCTGAATTAAATTTCAAGTTTAGAACCGCTATACTATACAAAAACAAATGCAATGCACACCATTTATTGTGAAGAGAAGAAAGGCTTCCAAGAAAGTGTGTATAGTAGATCACAATTTTGTTTCTAGACGTACATATGCATAGACCAAAAAATAATAACTTTAAAATACAGGAATATACCTAGAGTAACCATAGTTTACATGTTATTTCTGTTTTATATAACTTCTAAATTTAAAACAATGGATAGGTATTACTTTTAAAACCAGAAAAAGTGTCCTCAGGGCTTTTCTAGTTTGTTTTAATAATAAGACCAAATAAAATTCTATGGTTGTCAGTCATTGTCTCTTCCTTTAAGCTTGACTAGTAACCAATGTCTTCTGTAGGACCGCCAATCTTCACACGAAAGAGAGACATAGGTGGGGCTACAGAAAATAGAACATTAGGAAGTGTTAAGCACAAAGAATAGATAACTCAAAAAGCAAACTGCAGAAGTTGGCAGGAGTGAGAAATGAAAACGGAAGCAGTGAGTAGCAGACAAACAGAAGCTTTGTTTAAAAGGTCATCCAAAGAGTGACTACAAAAAGAAAAAATATCTCTAACATCAGAAAAGTCACTTACGTAATTATCATTGCCCTGGAAGGTACACTCAGGATACTTCTATTCTTTGTCTCCGTGAAGAGTTTGCCCCCTACAGGGACATCAACCAACAAACTAAGAAATTCAGAGTCTGGTGAGACCTCATCTCTACAATAAATCAAAAAATTAGCCGGGTGTGGTAGCACGCGCCTGTAGTTCCCGCTACCTGGAAGGCTGAGGTGGAAGGATTGCCGGAGCCCAGTAGGTTGAGCCTGCGGTGGCCGGGAGCGGCCACTGCACTCCAGTCTGGGCGACAGAGTGAGACTCCAACTCAAAGAAAAAAAAAAGAGTCTGTGTTCATTTGCTAGTGCACATGTACGTGTGCTTTGTGTAAGTGTGTGTGACAACAGTACTTTGGCACAGGTTACACTGTCATGTAAACCTACATGCCACACACCATCTAGATCTACATATGTTCAGTGTTTAAAAATTAGCAGGGA